TCATACAATGTGAAGAGGACACAGATTAGATTGACTAAAGGCTCATTGTGTGAGTTCTGGGTTTCAGGGTCCACTAAAGAGCTCTGACCAGGAGATAAGAAGTGGCTTCTGAGTTTACTCGAGTGCTCTGAATTGCTCACTTATGGATATGACATTACCAAAAAATCCCATTTGCCCCTCATACGACTTCTGTTTCCTTCTTCATACAGTTTCTGTGTGCACACAGAGGAAATTCAAAGGCTCTGTCTTTTAATCCCATTTTAATTTTGACACCACCACCAAACCTGACTCTGAGACCCTTCTACCTCCTCTTCTCTCAAGGTGCTTGAGAAACCACCTAACTTTATGATTGAAATTAATGTTTTCATTCAACTGCAACTGCTTGAGCTGTACACACATACTGTCAGAGTGAACACCAGCCCCTTCCCATCCCTCAGCCAGGTAATATGCTTTACCCTTCTTTTTTTTTTTTTCATTATCCCTTTAATGCAGAACCGGGCTACTGATTACAAAAAGGCAGTTTGACTCCGGCAATAGGTCTTCTTCACTAATCCTCACTGTCATGGAAATTCCAGCTGCTACAAGAATAAGAGGCTCAATCCATATTTGCCAGCTCTAATATGAAATCTGTCAGAGCCCAAATTAATGAGTTCCAAATTCCTTACATCACGATAACAGGTTAAGACTGGTCAATTAATTACATAAATCCTTCCCGATTCATTGTGCATTTGCAGCCCAGATTGTGTCTTACATTACTCCATGACACCAGGCCTTTTGGCTCCTGTTGTTCCACAGAAAGGCCCCATTTAAGGGAGGCTGGCTGCCACAGCAAAATGTTAAATGTCACACGTTAAATTTGCACTTTTCTGTAATTGCTTTTGTTAAAAAAAAAAAAAAAAATTAAATGAAAGCACAGGGCTCCCAGTACACCGCTATGCAGAGGGCTGGGATTGTGCTGAATGGACCCAGGGCAGGCAAGTACCTGTGTTTTACCTCAAACAGTTTACACAGACTCCTCCATACCGGGTGTTCTGTAGGCAGTGGAACCTGGAACGTGCATATTTGTGAAAGTAAATGAAGTTTCCCTAAGATACATGGCAGCAATATTTACATTGGGAAGATTCTCTTCTTTATAAAAGAATTAAGGGCCAGCCCAGTGGTGCACTGCTGTAGTGCGCCGCTTGGGAAGCGCGGCGGCGCTCCCGCCGAGGGTTCGGATCCCACGTACAGACCGGTTCCCGCTCACTGGCTGAGCGAGGCGCGGGAGCAACACCGAGGGTTGCGATCCCGTCGCTGGTCCCGGTCCGGTACGGGGGCGACACTGAGGGTTGCGATCCGTTGCCGGACACGGAAAAAAAAAAAAAAAAAAAAAAAAAAAGGAAAAAAAAATAATAATTAAAATAGGATTCTTTACATAGCCAGTTTCCCTTGTCTGCCAGTAAAAGTACTAGATATATAAAACACTGTTGATCTATTCTCACATTTCCAGGAACGCATATTACACAAGTGAGTGTGTATTATACTTGTGTAGATCTTTGCCTTCAAAAAGGAAATTCCTGATGGCTTTGCTATTTGGACTTGTAACTGGTACACACCTAGAATGTACACACGTAGAATGACTGAGGTCTCAGAGGACCTCAAAACCATCCAGGCCAAACCTTTTCCTTTTAAAACATCAAATGTGCTTGGAATCACAGCTAGTTAGAACTCGACCTAGAATTGTAACCTCCAGATTCCTATCGCAACCTCTCTTCACCCCACTACATTTCTTTGTGGACCTGTTTGCACATATATGCTCTGTACCGAATACAACCCGTTCTGGTTGTATTTCCTGAATCATCTGATTGCGGGTTGCGGGGCCTGCGAATACACGAGCGAGCAGATGATGCTTCTAAGCACAGACTGAAACCTATGCAGGTTCTCTCCACTTGGGAGCCCTAACACCACGACACAGCCAGCTAGCCAGACCCAAGGCGGCGCGTTCTTGGGCAGCGGCGGCCGCCGCCGCACTGGCCCAGCAGCGCCACCCCCTGTCCGCCAGCGGCTTTGCACCCGGCGGTCACCGGCCTCGAGCTTCTCTTTTTCGGGGCGAAGAACACAGCTTGGCTTCTGGGTCCCCGGCCTCATGGGGCGGGGGACTTGTATGTTCCCGTTCGTACCCCCTATACACACACACGCACGCACACGCACTACACCCTGACCCAGGTTTCTGGACCCAGAGACACGCGCTTCTTCCCCAGTGGCCCAATCCCGCCACCAGGCGCGACTGTCCCCTCCCTCTCCAGACGGGAGGGGGAAGGTTGACGCGACGGCGCGCCCGCCGGGCAGGTTTTAGGCTCCTGGGAGGACGAAAAAAGAAAGGGATTACCAAATGTGTGCAGTGCTTATGCAGATGGCATTTGGACGCTGAGGTTTCTCTCCAGCGCCGCCGCGTCCCCAGGCGCTTGCGGCGCCACCCCCTCCCCCAAGCCCAGGCGGCTTGTAGTCGCCCTCTCTCTCGGGCGGAGCGGGGGGCTGGGGCCGCAGCGGCGGGCAAGCGTGGACAGAACAAAGACTCGGTTCAGCCCCAGCCCGGGGAAGGCCGCCTCCGCGGGTTCCAGCGCGGCCCACCCCGCCGCAGCCATCGGGCGGCAGGGTCCCCGCTGCACGTGCGCTCGCAGCTTGGCGGGGCCCTGGGGACCCAGACGCTCATCGGTGCTCGAAGTTGCCTCCCACAGCAGTCGCCCCCACCCCGACCCAATGCCCCTCTGCGTCAGCGTCTTATTATTACTACTATTCCTACTTCTCACGCAGCCAGAGCTGCCTGGGAATGCGGGGCCGGTGGGGCGGCCGGGCCGCAGGTCCGTGCGGTACGTCGCCGGCTTTTTGTGCCTGCGGTGCCCACTCATCACCCGCCGCCCCCCTCCACCCGGGTGTTTTTTTTCTTTCCGCAGCGCAGTTGCTATGGGTTACCAGGGCGGTTGCCATGGGTTACCGGCCCCAGGCCGGCTGGCTCGCTACCTGCCACCCAGTCGCCGTCGCCGCCGCCGGCGGAGCCACCCGGGAGGGAGGCGGCGGGAGCGCGCGAGTGCGGGACGCGGTGCGGGGGAGAGCGCGCGAGCCGCAGCCAACAGGCGGCCGAGGGTGCAGCCGCGGGAGCGCCACCGCTGGTGGGGTGGGGGGCAAAGCTATAAAGAAGGCCCCGAGGTAAGAAACTTGCAAAAACACAACCACAAGTTACGCCCGTGCTGTGCCTCTAGCAGCAAAGACAAGCGGTGTGGGGTTTTGGATGAATCGACACATCTCGTCGGGGGAGAAAGGGTATTTTCCTCTTTAGCATAATCCATTTGCATAGTGTCTTTAGACCAGAGTTTTAAATTCAGCACAAAATTGTAACTTAATTTTTTTTCTCTGTATCTTTTGAAAAGAAGTCTTTTGGAATTTTGGAGAAAGAGAAGGGGTCATTAACTGCCAGAGCTTGCGCAGCTAAAATAAATTAGTGTCCATGCACTGTTCATAACAATGATCTACCAAAGTTTCCAGTAAGAGTGAACAGCAATTGTGTCTGGCTTAAAGAGACAGTGGTGACTCGTTTGTAAGATGCATATGGCAAAGAATAGAGCCAAGATCCTCTGTAAATATACCAAATCTTAAGGAAATTGTTGCTTATTTACATCTTTCTAAAATTTTTGAACTCCACTCTATTAAAATGTATTAATTTCTTATTACTTTTACTTGCAAAGAGAATTGTATCTATGCTTTGAATGTCAAATTGAAATATCTAATTTCAGCATTTTGTGTTGGAAATATGTTTATGTATAATAAACTAAGAACAGATCTATATCCCAAAGAAAAACAAAATTGTATTGAAATGTTTCCTCCGTTGAAAAGATGCTGAATTGTATTCATAGGATACCAACGAAATAATTTAAATATTAAGAGGAAAACTATTTAGAAACAGAATAAGCTTTTGATATTTTTGTCTTAAAATTTTAGAGGCCTTTCATGGAAAAGTGTCTTCCTTTACAGCTCAAATACTGAAAACCTTATTTGTATCACAGCAGCTCAATAATGATGAATCCTTCAGGCGCCAAAAAAACATTAACAGTTCAAAACGTCCAATTTACTGTTAGATGCAATGGTAATTGTGGCTAGACTAAATGAATTTGTTTAAATTCTTAATAGTAATGGAAGAAAGTTTATCCTTTTACTGTACTATACTGGATATCATTTGTTCATATTTAATTATTCAATAAAATGTGAACTAAGCTTGAAAAACTCTGCCAAATATTTAATATCTTAAGGGACATTAGGTGTTTAAAGATAAACATTTGTGTTTTTCCCTAATAATTTTTAAAACTTGACATCTTAACTAGAATTAAATCACTTTCTTCCAAGTGAGACTTTAAAAGAAGCATTAAGTAACAGGTTGTTGACACCTTTGGGTTATATATAATTCCAGTCCTAAAACAAAATACATAAGCTGGCTTATAGGTGAATAACTTACCCTTTCAGAATTATCCAGGGTAATACAGTTTTGCATCCAAAATTAGAATTCTTTAAATTTGTCACATTAGAAATAGTGTTAAATAAACACCTATTTATATGTAAAATCATAAAAGCACCCCAAATTAGAATTCTTTCAATTTAAGTTGCATTACAAATAGTGTTAAATAAACATCTATTCTATTTAGTTTGGTTATGTAAGTAATTATTTTCTTTTTCCAACAAAAGCTGTATCAAAATACGCCAGAGAAAAATAAGAGACAAAGCAAGAAAACCATTGGGAGCTGAATTCATCTAAGTATCTCAGCTGCAAGAAATCAGTTTTAAGAAGCCAGTGCTTAAATATCAAAACAACCAAACCAAGTTTAAAAAGCCTCAAATATGTATTACTATAGTGAATATTAAAGCAAGTTTTACCAAAGTTCTTCATAAAAAATTACTGATAATTCAAAAGCACACTGAATTTAAGACAGAAGAAATATATTCTCTTGTATAAAATAAGTGATCCAACAAAGTTGACTTTTTTCATGTTTAATGTGAAAACAATGATATCATGAAGTTTACATACCAAATATTAGGCATTACTTAATGTTAGTTTTGAAGGCTATGTTATATCATCTAAAAATAATATGACAATTGGTGGCACAGTATATGCTTTTCAAAACTGCTGCAAAACAGAAATATTGTAAATCTAAATACATATTGCTGAGGGGCTGAGGATCACTTTTAAGTGCCCAGATGGCAAACTTTACATGTTAGCAAGATAAGAAATTGCTAAATCTTTTTTTTCCCTGTATTAAAATAAGGAGTCTTAGATGATAAAATAACAGGATCCAAGATACACTAAATCAAAATATTTACAGAAGTTCAGTTATGTTTTAGACAAAACTAAGAAAAAAACGAGAAATTAAAGAAAATATTCTTACTCTAAATTTAATTTTTTTCTGTTGGTTCTTAGTTTTCTGTTGGGTTTTTTTTTTTCTGTTGTTTCTTTGAAATAAGCATTTTAAAAACTTTTAAATAATATTTAATAACTCTTAAGCTCCTAGTTAAAATAAAAAGGCTGCTTTTTGTAGCGGTCTCTGCTACCCATCAATTAGGCTGGGTAATATTTAATTAAAGCAACAAGTTATCCCAGTTATGTGAAAATATCTTCCTGTTAGTTTCACATAGATGTTTTGTACCATTCAGCAAGGAAGAAGCTTGGATAATTATCTCAAGAAAATGCTGCCTCATCTGAAATTTGAAGTTCAAAGTAGTTTATCTCAGACATCTTATCTTTGGCACACTAAAAAAAAGACATTTTATTCAAATTATACCAATCTTCAGGTAGATGCCTAAAAAGAAAGGGCTTTTTAAAAATGAATAATTAATTCTGAAATTAGTAAGCTGACATCCTTTTCTATGGGAATATTTATTGGTAAAATTAATTTATTAATTTTTTTAAGATCCTTCTTCTGACTTAAAGTTACCACCACTGACACTGAAAGTTACCTAGTGATAAGAAACTTCACATTTATTTTAAACCATTAGCATGTAATTCCAAATACACAATGAAAATGAAAACAAATGATTTGTTTCCAGAAACCATTTGTTTAAGCTGATTTTCTACAATGAAAATGTATTTCTGAATCTATATATTGCAAGTAAAATTACTAGCACTATTTGTTTTTTCTAAGATGTAAACATTATTTTTAATAAGTCTCTATTCATAAGATACATTTTCCATCTAAGTGTGAAATAGAATACTGGAACGGTTAAATACTCTTAAAATATTTCAATCAAACAAATATTTCAACCAAAGCAAAGTGATTTGCCAGTGCAGGGGAGGTATTCACAAAATATCAGCCACATGTCTGGAGAGTCTGGTCCAATAGTGGTTACAACATCATGTATTCTATGTTTATCATAACACTGCCCCATTGATACAAGAAGGAATGCTGCGTCTTGATTTTAAATACTACCTATTTACCTGTCTTAAAATTGAATAAAACCAACTAGGTTTTTTTAAACATATAAATAATTTCATTTCAGGGCAGAACCTTGTTTACCAACAGTTTGCCTATAAAGGATAGTATTGCATTCACAGGCTTTCAGCTATACACAGAAGCGTGGCTAAAATAAGACAACATAAAACCACCACTAATAGCACAACATCTTTAAGAATTTAAATAACTACTATCATGACAGTGAGCTTTAGGTAAGAATATATTATTAGCAAGCTTTCTTCTCTATGACTGGACATAATTTGCTATTCCTAAAATAGTAACATTACAATTATTTTTCAGGATTCCTGAGGAGCGGTACTTATTTTACATCCATGTGAACTGCTGTCATCACTACTGTGTCCAAGCCCAGAGGATGAACTGGAAAAGAAGAGGGGGAAAATAATAAAAAGAGGAAATTGGTTTTCACAACACACTCAAAGCCTGAGTAACAGAGGAGAACTTTAATTATCTCCAGTCACAAAGAGAGACAGGAAATTTGGACTTTTAATTAGCCATTTCGAGTGCAGTTGGATATTTTTTTAGCTAGATAATTTAAACGCGAATAATTCAAGTCTGACTAAATGAAAGTCACATAATCAGAATGCAGATAATTGAATTTCTACTGCATTCATTAATTCAGCGTGGAGGTGTGTGAAGACTACTATGATGAGCTGTCACAGCTCAATAAAATCTCAGTCAATTAATTTTTTCATTATCTTAGTATTACATCAACAAAAAAGTGAAGTGTGCGTATATATCTACATACATGCATATGTGCACTGTGTTATATAAATACGTATACGTTAAATCAAAATGCAAGGAAATACCTTTCCGAATCATAGTCTATATCATTTTCTTTTTTTCCTTCTTCATCTTCTTCAGGGAAACGTCTATTCATCAAAGCAAACTTTTGAATTGCTTCTTCCACAGAGTACTTAGTCTGCCCAGAAACACATGCCTCGATATCTTCTGAATTCAGATGGCTCTGCAAGAAGAGGTGAAGCCTGCTATCTGAAAGCAAAAGTGCATTCTGGAGGACTCTATGTAAAAGAAAAAAGGAAAAATAATCGGTGAACAGGAATGGACAGTTATGGTAGGAGAGAGAGAAACATTAGAAATGTATCTCCAGGGGCCGGCCTGTGGCTCACTCGGGAGAGTGTGGTGCTGATAACACCAAGGCCACGGGTTCGGATCCCATATAGGGATGGCCGGTTTGCTCACTGGGTGAGCGTGGTGCTGACAACACCAAGTCAAGGGTTAAGATCCCCTTACCGGTCATCTTTTAAAAAAATAAATAAATAAAGTGTACACAACAACGTAAGTTTTTAATGCTTAAATATGAAACATCAATATCTAGTTTATTAGTTAGTGGAACTTTAGATATCAGATAGAAAAATCATGCATTTCACTTCCCACAACTAAATGTGTTAATTTTTTAAAAAAAGCTAAAAGAACTGAAGAAATTACAGGAAAAAAATGGAATGAATAGCGTCAAATTCTTTTCTGGCTTCATCTGATGTTAAAAAGTAAACAGATGCCTGACCCTGTTAACAGAATCTTGTATCACAACAATGAATAGCCTCCACAAGAATTATACAAGGGGACTTCAAAATTGCATCAATTATGGGCTCTGCCCATTAAAGGGATGAAAGCATATGTTAACTTTTATTCAATTATTTAGAAATTTAGGTGAGTGAAAACATGAAGCTCATAGTTAAGAACATCTGTTAAAAGAATAACTTCAAGGACATTTCTTCAATTTAACCATCTGTTATGACCATGTGGATTAATTATGGAAATATTTTGCTTATATAGTCATAGAAATTCATTCTACTTAAAAAAAATTTACTGCCAGCAGCCTGTCAATTCAGTGATCTTTATTAGATAGGCTGTCATGAAATATCAAAACTTTCAACTACTATTAAAAATTACATGAAAAAGTCAATACATTTCTCAGCATGTTCCACATTTTAAAACTTTACAAGTATGCTATGTACATAAGTACATGTTTAATAGAGATCACTTGAGAGGCACCTTTTTTTGAATACTTAAGGTTGACTAGAAATTTCCCCCAAATCTTCAGCGGCACTGCATCTCTGTTGTCAAAATAAGCAACGAAATAAAAATGATCCCAGTCAATTTTACCATACATACAATTAAAATATGATAATTTTGTGATAAGTACATACTGCTCTTCCCACATTCAAGATCAAAGTTTACAAAGATAGTACAGATTTGAACCAGTGCATCAGAACTAAACAGAGGATTAAAAACGATCCTGTAGCAAAATTTACACATGCTCAGATTCATATTGTCAGTGGATGTTTTTCCTGAAATTCATGGCTTAGAATAGGAAATTAAGTCAAATTATACCCTTATATTTAAACAAAAACTGGTTTTATCTTACTAGCAAAGATTTTGACTATGATAATTCAATCTCTCTAAATAGTTCAATAATGATATAACAGCAGACACTAAGACCAAACGTAGGGTACAAAACCAGAACACTAAAACCCAAGTACAGTTTTGCCTAACATGAGATTTTTCATGTAGAGATCTGTGAAAAACAGATCATGTATTTCAGACCAATAGAACCTTACCTTATATTCTGCATGTTTAAACAAGCAATTAGAAAAGCAAATCTCTTTTGGCCATTAATACCAACTTAGTTAAAATCCAAAGTCAGTAGAACACCAAATCCTTTTCTTCAAAATAAAACAATCATTTTTCAAGGAGGTAAATGTCTAAAGATGTACAGTGTATCAAAACCAAGATCTAAGGGGCTGGCCAGTTAGCTCAGTTGGTTAGTGAGCAGCTTGGTAACACCAAGGTTAAGGGTTCGGTTCTTCATACACCAAACAAAAAAAGAAAAACAAAATCTAGCTGTCACTTTTGATTCAATAGGCTTACAAATGTAGTTTGAGAAAATATTCTTTACTGGTCTACTAAAAGGAAAACTAAAACCTTCGTGCTTTTATAACACTATCTCAAGCAAAGCTACTAAATACTTCCTCTCCTCCTGTGTCCTCTGCCCTGGATCTTCCCAGAATATGACCATGTCACATGATAAAGATTAATTTACCAAGTACAAGTAGCCAAATAGTAAATCCCTTTTACTACTCTTCAAGATTTACTCCTTACATTTACAAATGTTTATTATTCTTGTTTTAAATATTTCAAATTAAGAGAAGAGTTACATAGCAAAAACCCATTACTATTATCTTGCATTTGCTGTGAAGTTTGAGCAGAGCATTTCCTGTGGCCTTCTGTAAGTGGTTTCCTGCCAACCATAGTACAGTAACTGTTCATAGGACTTTACTCACTGCTCTGTTTCTGTTGGAAATGTGTTTTATTTTCTTTATAAAATAATGGGTAATCTTTAAAATTGATTTTAGATGGTTTGAGGCATTACACCACAAAAGTAATGAGCACTAATGCCAATGATATTGGACACAAATTCATTTTAGCTTTATTTCATGTCTAAAGCAATTCTACTGAGCCTTGAACTGCTCACGCGCTGTTATTAACTTGCTAGCAACCTAACACATGGGTACAGCAAACAAAAGTGATCAGAGTCCAGGTTGATCGGGACCTCAAGGCTACTGTCCTTTTTCTTGAGCTATAATTCAATTTCCAATTTTATTGTACATTAGACTCATTATTTCCCAGTGTTTCTCTTTCCTGCTTAATGCTGCCATCTGGAGGACACACAGGTGAAGAGAGGGAGGCAGGCCCACCCAGCTCACAATTCAAAAGTGGAAAAAAGGATATGGCTGGGAAGGGAGTGAACACTCACACAGGCCCAGAGTTCAAAAAGTGTGTCTGCCGCTCAGCCCAGTTTTGGTTTTTGGAATCTCTATGTCTCACTGGCTAACTTTATGTCATCATACTCCAAGGGTCTGAGTTTTAAAAAAGCAAACATAAGTTTCTATATGTATTTATGCTTTTTGTTTTGTGGTCAGATATTTCATTCTGGAAATTAAAATGCAAAATTTGGGGAATGTTTTCCCATCTGGTTCAGTGAGCATAATTAGCTCACTTGGAGTACTATTTGGTTTACTATATATCAGAGTGTTGAGACTGCCATCATCATAATATTAAATCCTATTTTTCCTTAGTCATATTTGTGCCACATTTTCCACAAACAAATCTAATGCAGAAAATCAACTTCAGGGCCGGCCCAGTGGCGCACTGCTATAGTGCGCCGCTTGGGAAGCGTGGCGTCGCTCCCGCCGAGGGTTCGGATCCCACATACAGACCGGTTCCCGCTCACTGGCTGAGCGAGGTGCGGGAGCAACACCGAGGGCTGCAATCCCGTTCCCGGTCCCGGTCCGGTACGGGGGCGACACTGAGGGTTGCAATCCGTTGCCGGACACGGAAAAAGACAAAAAAAAAAGAAAATCAACTTCAAACTTAATGTAGAGTACTTTGTAAAACAGTCAATAAAATGTTATTTTAGAAGCCTCCATAAAAATAAATACATGATTTTCAAGCCATTATAAAAGGAACAAAATATAGACCTGAGAATTTTAAAGGAATTTCTGAAAAGATATTTAAAATGTAAATCAAAAGTTATTCTTTTCCCATAACAACTTTAAACAAAGCAAAACCTCTTTTTTCCCTGAATTGAACACAGATGAAAATCTGGTTTCCCTCAACATCATTTTATTAGGTGAATTATATATTGGTTTAGTTGAGAACATATAGCTACACAAAATCATTTAATCCTAACTACGGGTGTCCTGGGTCATCCAATATAATGATATAGATATATATACATATCTGTATAATGTGTGGAAGGTTAGCAGTTTGATGAAGAAAAAAATTTTTTTTAACTCAGCCTGTTTGCCTCTCCCCATGAAAAATAAATAAATAAAACCTATAAATCCTCATTCAAGACATTCATGATTTGTGCTGTAGTGCCCTCTGTTGAACATAAAGACTTATTAAAATTGTGTGTTTAAAACTGCTATAATGTTTCAGTGGTAGTTTTTTGTAAAAATCTTTAATAGTCCTTAAATTTTTTTTTTTCCTTTTTGTCTTTCTTCGTGACCGGCAACGGATCACAACCCTCAGTGTTGCGCCCGCATTGGACCGGGACCGGCCACGGGATCGCAACCCTCGGTGTCGCGGCCGGTCCGTATGTGGGATCCGAACCCTCGGCGGGAGCGTCGCCACGCTCCCAAGTGGCGCACTGTAGCAGTGCACCACCGGGCCGGCCCAATAGTCCTTAAATTTTTAAGAAATATAAAACTATAACACAAAAGTCTAAATTGTAGGATAAATGTGGTTATATTAATGGGAAAAATTCAGTAAAAAGAAAAGTTGGATCCCATTCATTAATAAACCTATTCAAACCTAAATTGAAAATCCCATTCAAATCTAAAATCCCACTCAAACCTAAAAAATTAGTAGGAATCCCGTTATTCCTAGTTGGAGACTTACCAACAAAGTTTATAATTTTAGTCTATAATTTTCTCTTCCCATAACTATTAGAAGTGACTTTCAATTTATAATTAGTCAGGGGAAAGAATACAAAAGAGACATTATAATCAAGCCTGAAGAAAAATGAATATATTTGAAAAATCTCAGTAATGCTGACCAAATTTAGCTAGTGTTTAAGAGTTCTGCTAATTATAAACTTGCCAGTTCCTGGGATTAATACAGTATCTCTACCTTTCCTATAGTTTCCTTAGGAAACTATAGTATTGTGATAATACCCAATCCTAAGATTATTGTAAGTACTGAAACAAACATGTAGCAAGTGTTCCATAAATGGTAGAAATTGTTCTTATTTGTCACTCAAAGAAACAATTTACTAATTACTCAACAAAGATCAGCCTGGATATGTACTTCTCTATTAAATATGTTATTTCACAAATAACTTTAAAATTTTAAAAAAAAACAGTATATACACAAACACACATACAGGAAGACATTTTGGTTTCATAGGGTTTGAACATATATAGTGCTTCTAGTTTATAATTTTTTTTTTTTTTTTTTTAAAGATGACCGGTAAGGGGATCTTAACCCTTGACTTGGTGTTGTCAGCACCACGCTCACCCAGTGAGCTAACCGGCCATCCCTATATGGGATCCGAACCCGGGGCCTTGGTGTTATCAGCACCACACTCTCCCGAGTGAGCCGCAGGCCGGCTCCTCTAGTTTATAATTTTAAAAACCAAATTTTAAAAATACATGCCAAAAATCTACAGTGAAAGTATATTCCACGCTTTAATGCTGTGGTTCCTAAAGTTCCTCTACAAACAAGGTACAAGCTATTGATGGGTCGCCCTACTTAATGGGTAACAAGTGGAGCCTCAGAGGACGTTAAGCTGGACACAGTGCTGAGATGCATGTCGCATTTGGTTTCCCAAATTGGCCTTGGGCTGGAGTGGGGGAAGGGCACCAGGGGCAATGACATGGAAGGCAGGTTGCTACTTCTACACAAAGGACAAAGAACAGGAAGCTGCACATCAGAATCTGAGGGACACAGAAAGGAGAGTGGGGAAGATGAGGGAGGCCACAGAGTTTAGGGAGGCCTGAAGCGAAAGTGTGGTATTAGAGACTCCTTGCTTCCTTCAGCCATAAACCACATAGAAGCAGCAACTTTCATCTTTAAAGTGAAACTCATTAGCTTGGAGACAAATGTCCACATGCCATAGTGAGACAAATAATATCACAAGAGAACCCAGTGTCTGTTCCATGATTTGACTTCTGGATGTAATACAGATCCAATTTTAATGAATTAAGCTATAGCCCTTGATCCACATATAGCTCTTCCCACTAGAATGGAAGCTTCAAGAGAACAAAGACTTGTGTCCATTTTGTCCAGTCCTATCCTCGCGGTACACAGCCCAGCCCAAAGCAGTCACTTAATAAATATCTGTTGAATGAAGGATTGCTGCATGGTTTCCAGGGTCCTTTCCAAGCCATCATCTGAACAACACGATTCAGTGAGATTGGCAATGCATGGGTTATATTATCCCATCTATAGCAAACCAGGGCTAAAAGGAATTAAATGACTTTTCCAAGGTCATGTAGCTAGAAAAAAATTGGGAGTCAAGATTCATGGGAGACCTGAAACTCAGCTTTTCAATGAGTCCCTGAACCAGGACACTTTCCACTATGATATCTGCATCAAATATGACCAGCAAACAGCCAAACAATACATTGTGCAAAAATAACCTAATGTGGGGCCGGCCCGGTGGTGCACTGGATAGTGCGCCGCTTGGGAAGCGCAGTGGCGCTCCCACCCGAGGGTTCGGATCCCACATACGGACCGGTTCCCGCTCACTGGCTGAGCGAGGCGCGGGAGCAACGCCGAGGGTTGCGGTCCCGTTGCCGGTCCCCGGTCCGGTACGGGGGCAACACTGAGGGTTGCGATCCGTTGCCGGACACGGAAAAAGACAAAAGACAAAAAAACAAAACAAAAAAAAAACCTAATGTAAGCATAACCCTGCTATGGCTGAATAACGCTCATTGGGTCATTAATTTTGGTAGATCCTCTGTGGAAGGAAAGCTTATGTTCAAAACAATGGAGTAATTCCTAGTCAAAAACGCATGCCCGTCCTTTAACTAGCAACACAAATACAGAGACATGTGCTATCCTTTGACCTCAAATAAGGTGACTTCTCTACAGAAGACAAGCAGCTCCCCAGTGCTGGCAGGGACTGTGGGATTCAGCCACCCCTGCCAGGCCTCACTGGAGACGGCCTGGCTGCAGCATCCCCAGAGCAGAATCTGGAGTGACAGGCTGCTCTGCAAACTTGAGATGCATCAGCCACCTGGGCCTCGTAGAAGTGACAATTAAGATCACAGCTTGTTCCCAAAGGGAAAGGGCAGAAAAAACTTGACTAGATCTTTGTTCTGTCATACCCAAAAGAATACCACTGGAATGTTTTCAGAGGATTTGTCTCCACTAATCCGTTCTTAGGGTCTCTTCTCATTTTTATCCCTCAGGCTTCTCTTCCTTTCCCTACCTTCCTTCAGTTTATAATCTTGGATCTTTCTGTATATCTCTATGACCCCTTCAAAGGTAAGGCACTAAGTTAACCTAATAGAAATAGATATTAATATTCATGTGCATACTTAATACCCAAACCCTTTTCTAGTGAGCCATGTGGGGAGAAGGCAATATATTTTTTCAGGCTAGCTCTAAGGTCCTACTTAGTGAACTCAAAAGGAGATGACTTCAGGTCCTGAAGCTATTAAAAAAGAATGAGAGTCCAGGAGACTGGGCCCTGCCACTAACTAGTAGTCATATGACTCAGCCTATTTCCTTACCTATAAAATGGGAAATTAGAAAAATAAGCTCAAAGCTATTTCATGTATAAGTGCATTAAATAATAACAGCCAACATATATATGCCAGACACTGTTGTGAGTGCTCTGCATTCATTAACTTAGATAATCCTCAACAATCTTATGAGGCAGGTGCTATTATTGCTCAGTTTTATAGACGGGAAAACACAGGCACAGAGGAGGTAAAAGACTTGCCTAAGCCCCCAATTTATAAAGGGGCAGAGCCAGGATTTGAACCCATGCAGCCTGGCCTCAGAGTCTGTGTGCAAATCAACGTGCTACACAGCCTCCTGTGGAATAGGTATTCTAGCATCCCAAAGAGTGAGGAAAGAAGGGAAATCCCAGTACTGTGAGTTCAAGCAGCTTTAATTGCAGTACCCACCGTCGCAGAGTAATCCAGAGTTAATAACCCACTGAGACTATTCAAATGCCACCAAATACTCCTTTATAAACATTCCCTCCAAATATTAGAGTTGAACTATCCATTTAGAGGAATTCAGAAGGGTATTAGCAGCCCATCGTAGAGCTGGTTTTGGTTTGTCAATCCTAAATGTCATAAATGAAAACAGTTTTTAAGAAGTGCCTTTTTAGGGCCAGCCCGTGGCTCACTTGGGAGAGTGTGGTGCTGATAACACCAAAGCCACGGGTTTGGATCCCTATATAGGGATGTCTGGCTAGGTCACTTGGGAGAGCGTGGTGCTGACAACACCATGTCAAGGGTTAAGATCCCCTTACCAGTCATCTTTAAAAAAAAAAAAGAAAAAAGGAAATGCCTTTTTACAATAAGGCACATTTGTTTCCTTGCAAATTTTACTTTTGTCAGCTAAACTCTCAAGTAATTTGGATCTGCTTTATAGCTTAAGGGACCATGTATTTATTACCCGACTCAGTTAGTTAATTGTTTTCCTCCTAGAAGATTTGGTCCCAAATATGTACCATATGATGTGACCACAAGATGGTGCTCTAACATAGGGAATGAACTACTGAGATTCGCTCTAGAGCAGATTATTAGCATTTCAGAAACTAATATTCTCCCACATAATCGCTCAACTCTTGCAAAGCCCTTTGCTCACATCTCTTCTCTGGACACAAGAGTTTCCGTACACTTACTTTCGGAGGAAGTCTTCCAAACCCTGACGACGCTGATCTACGTGCTGGCGATGATCGCTCAACTCTTGCAAAGCCCTTTGCTCACATCTCTTCTCTGGACACAAGAGTTTCTGTACACTTACTTTCGGAGGAAGTCTTCCAAACCCTGACGACGCTGATCTACGTGCTGGCGATTGTTCATGTTGAAAAACAGGTTTTTAGATGGAAGTTCTGGCAGTTGTCTTATGGGAAAGGAAAAAACCAACACATTTTAAAATGATAAAATTAAAAAGTAGTTTAAAGAAATCCTTCAAAGTGAAGGCAAATTATGCATGATGATAATTATCACATAGCTATTATATAATTATTATTATATATTACATAGTTTATAATAAGAGTACGAGGAAATCAGTTAACTTAAAGGAATACCCACCTTTAAACATTTCTGAGGTCTTTCATGGTCAATACCCATAAAAGTCGGTAAAATTCAAGTGATAAATTTGAAATTCAGATGCAGTAACTACAAAATTAACTGAAGTTATATACTGCAATCAAGAAGAAACCCTATAAAATCCTTCCTATCCTATATGTCCTAATGCATATAAATTTTTAAATATTGAATATAGTAACCAAGTCTCCTCAATATAATCTTTAAATCACTTACACCAGCAGTGCATTACTCTGGAGTCTCTGCCTCAGCCACACAAATTCTCTGTATCTTCTTCGTACACAGGACGTTTTCATTGTAAAACACATGCTATTAGTCTGTACAGAAGAATAGAAAAATATGAGCCTCATCTGAGGAAATAATGCCTTTCTTATATCTATAACTTGCAGTATGATTCCAATATTCACTCTATAGAGACCACCAGAAATATATTTACATTATGCCAGTACTCTGAAATCTTGCATGTAACCCACCAACACAAGAGCCCTGAAGACAGCTGGGATGACAGCAATGAGCGGTGTTGTCCTGGAGCAAGGCGTGACCGGCCAGTCCCTGGGTCCTGAAGAAGCCTCCTGCTCACCAAACTATGAGCATTGCTTTCAAGGATGAATCATACAAAATAAGTAAATCCTAAAGTACAAATGACCAAGAAGAGCTCAGGGTCACCCACTGCACTTTCACACCATCCACACAGTTGGAGGAGTCTGGGGATTAGACACCACCTCACAGACTGTTACATCAGACGTTGGTCTTCACGTCCTCAATGTGGCTATCCCTACAGATCACACAAATCGCCAGGAATCCTGAAATCAGTTTTTAACTAGAGGACAGCACCTCCCTTCTCTAGATGTAGGAGGGAATGTGACCCTCATTACAGAGCAGTGCGTGCTGCACGGGGACAAGCAAGTAGACCCAAACTCCAGTCCTGGCTCTGCTGTGACAGGGCAAGTCACTTAAATTTCAGTTTCCTGAGTAGAAAAACAGGGATGAACTAGTACATACCTATTTCACAGGGTAATTATGAGGACTGATGATAAGCACTTGACAAATGTTATCTATTGATACTAGTAGCAGTTACTCAACGTTGAGTTTCCTTCCAGCCACCCTAAGGCAGACTTGGAAAAAGCCACCTGCAGCATCCCCATCCTAAGCTAAACTGCAATGCTTCTCCTTTGGGTAATCACAAAACAGGTAAATATTCTCCTTTGGGTAAAACAAGAGACTAGCAAATCTTTGTGTCTCCTGGTTTTTAAAAATAAGAATATCTCTATTTTCTGTATTTATTTCAAAATTCTACTCCATAATACTTAAATTACCAAATGAGAAACAATTTGGTTTTGCCCCCAAGATTTGTATTATTTCAGAAAGTATTATTCTATCACTTAATAAGCCCAGCAGTTGTTTCCCTTGGGAAATCTAAGTAATCATGTGCATTAGTTTTTAAACTGTTCCCATGAAATGTATGCACAGTTCCTGGTATTCCTGAACTTTATAAACTTCAGAAAATCTCAGAATGCAGATGTCAAGAGAATCACCCCCAAAGTAGCCACTGCTCTAAATCCCACCAATCTTGACACAATGGCAGCAAAACACACTGGAAGGAGCTTGGGGCACAATACCATTCTCTGGGCGGATTTCAGAGCACACCAGGGCCTCACTCTAATATGCTCCTTGGGGTCTAAGACAGCAAGGCATGTCACACCTGAATTACTGCCCTAACGAGGCTTGGACAGAGATCTTCTCACTACCCTCTCCCTAGACAGTACCAGACCACTCTGCAGGCAGACTAGGGATTCCTGACATCCAGGTAGAGGCTGGGTCAATTCAAATCACCTTTAATTTCTCTGCTCACAATCACTGTGAATGTCGATAACTAAAGATCTGCCTGCAATCTACACCAGACTAAGGTCCCTGTACACTCCTGACATCCAGGTAGAGGCTGGGTCAATTCAAATCACCTTTAATTTCTCTGCTCACAATAACTGTGAATGTCGATAACTAAAGATCTGCCTGCAATCTACACCAGACTAAGGTCCCTGTACATGAGTACTTCTAAAAGTTCATGGAAAGATTTGTATTATCTTTCATTTCTATTTTTCCAAGAATGTTTTAAAGTACCCACGTCTAAGTCCTTCCCTTGCAGGACAGGTTCAGAAGAGTATATATGATGAACTACTCAGCTCTACAGTCTTCTAGTTTAAAATCCAAGTAAATGTTAAGATTTCAGAGTTGCTTGATATCATTTCCCTTGAGGTTAATTTAAACAAGTTAAACACCAGCTTCTCTACCTGCAAAGCTCTATGGGGATAGTATGTACGAGAGGCCGATTAGAACTCTCTAGCCCTCCGTCCACTTCTAATTGTATGACAGGCGGAAGTCTCTTCAGGATTAGACAATACTGAGATCACTAATTGATTAAGTTCCTCTAAATCTATTTGCTTGTTTCTGCTATCCACTAAGCCAAGAAGATGTATTCACTGTCAATTTATGAGCACTTCAGAGAAGTGCCAGAACACCACCAAATAATACTGGTGGAACCCATCATTTCTGGCTCCAGATGGAGACTTATGAATTCATGTCACACTATTTATACTCATATAGCACAGAAGAATCTATACGTTCATTAACTCCTGAGAATAATTAAATTTCACGCCTACCATACAGTGTGTGTGGTAAGAATTCACAGATTTTTAAAGAGAAAACTGAAAAGCAACTAAAGAATTTTATTTCAAATGCTTATTCTTATATGCTCATAATTTTCCACAAAGAACGTATCTCTGGTGTGAGCTTACAAATAAAGGCAAAACAAAGTCAAAATATACAGTATATCCTGGCAATGGCCTGCAAGATGATCATCAAAAAAGCTGTTCTGAGTTTTCATTTTATTTTCTAATTTGGGGACCATTGAAAGAAAACGGGGGAAAAAAGGAGAAAAAAGAAAGTTTCATGGCTGGTATTTGTGTGTCCAATATGCCAATTTAACTATTTACAATGAGAAGATTAAATGATCATTTGTACATTGCCTAAGGCTGCTTTTAAACTATAACAGCAGAAATAAGTAGTGGTGACAGAGACTACATCGTCAGTCCACTAAGCTGAAGATATTTATTGTTTACCAAAAAAGTTTGTTGACCCTTGTTCAAAATGATCCCAAAAGACTACACACTACACAGTTCAAGAGACTGTGATACAGTAGTATCCAAACGAGGTGTATCATCTCTAGTTGCCTACTTATCACATTAATTGCTCAGAACTGAGACAAAGGAAATTACACATATTCATTTCCTTTCTGATTCTATATACAAAACACTGCAAGCCTCTTTTCCAGAGAACGCTACCTCCTCTCAAAATTTAAGATTTCTTGGGCATTATATTATCCAGAAATATGCAACAGCAGATCATAAAGAAATATCATTAATGAGCTATAAATACTCTTTAACCATGAAATTTGGATATATTCACATTTTCATACATGAAGGCAGAAAACATTAAAATATTAACATTAACAAAAGTACAATAGAATTTCAAATAAGTAATTTTTCAACTTTAGGAACCGTTTTACTACTTCATTTAAGATACCAGCATTAGTTGTGATCATTAAATTTAGTTCTTTGAATCAGGAAAACTTTTACAAATTTTAAGTATATCACAGTGTCTCATAAAAAACATACACTAAAAATTACTGTTTCTATTGACTACTGACTGCATACTTACATGAATACATATCTCATAGTCAATATAAGAATGCCAAAAGTCCTCCTTCTGAATCCTAGGATCTCGAACCCAGACACTTACAAATTCCTGTAATGGCATCATAAACAAAGAAATATGTTTCAGAATTGCAAGTAGAATTGGAGAGAGCTGAGAGATGACTGTACTAAAACCAAAACTGAAATGAGTTTTAAGCAATGTGTTTGTAATCCTTTAAAAAACAAGAAGTAAAGTTAATGAATCAGGCACCATAGGCAAGTCCAGAAAACACTTTTGCCACAAACGGAATGTTTAAAATAATGCAAAACTGAGTGGGGCACACTGTTAGATAGTCTTACAGGTTATTTTGAGACAAATAAGAAAATAAACTCTAAAACTGCTTTTTCATTTTTAATCATGAAAAATAGGTTCATATTTTTCTCAAATTTTAAAAGTGGTCATTTCTTACTTTCCTTGTCTCTCTAAATTAAAACTACAGACCCTGCCTGGTAAATCGCTTCCTAGGACACAAATAAGAAATGCTAGCAACAGTCATGTGAGAAGTAAGCAATGAGCATTGAAACTGACTTTGTGCCTGCAACCAGCCTCACGAGAATAAGCAGAAATAACTTATCAATGGAAAGATGCACATCTTCTTGTACACAATGTTTTTCTGTCTTAAAAATATATTTCCCATACATTAAATCATTTCATTTTCATAATATCCTTGTATTATAGGTAAAAGTTAGAGAGGTTAAAAAAAACATACACAGTGGATCAGTTTCTTTCTTTTTAAAAATCATAAGAATAGGAAATATGGGGTAAAATTTAAAACTACTTTTCAAAAAGTGCTCTTTGCTAAATAGGTTTAGTTTAAAAATATGAAGACATACAGCAAAAAAGTACTATGTTTAGCGTGATAAATTTTAAAGTCTAACATATTTACTCAGTGATCATAAATGTGCTAAGTTTAAATACTTTCACTTTTTGTTAAAATTGGGGCTTCAAGGCTGAAATGCAGGCATCTCTTACTGCTTTATTTTGGCACATCTGAGAGGCAGGCTGCAAACACTCTAGAGTAAGAAAGATCATGGGGTTTCTAGACAAAGAAAATAGACATAACAAAATGCAGATAATAAAATGAGAGTTTTCAATACAGATGTTTTAAAAGCAGAAAAACAGTCCACATTTCCTGAAAATAACTTTTGCTTCTTATCAAGTGTCACCTTGTAAGGCAGCATACACTTTGTTCTAGCATTCGAGACTTCTGTCCCACTGCTTATCCTCAGTATATAGGAATTATGACTTAATCTTCCAAAAAGTCTTTTTTTTTCTTTCTTTTTTTTTTTTTTTAAGATGACCAGTAAGGGGATCTTAACCCTTGACTTGGTGTTGTCAGCACCACACTCTCCCAAGTGAGCTAACCGGCCATCCCTATATAGGGATCAGAACCCATGGCCTTGGTGTTATCAGCACC